AACTCGAATGTTCTTCAGCTGATGGTTGGATAAACAGGCCGTGATACATCCGGGCAGTTGAACCCTACTGAGCCACTACAAGGAGCTTGTGGTGTAGACAACCACACGCTTTAATTTGAAACGTATTATGCTAAGTGGGAGAAGTCAGATGTGAAAGCTGCACATGGTATGATTCCATTTATAGGACGTTCAGGAAAAGACACCACCACGGTGATGGGGAAAGATCCGTGGTTGCCCCGGGTTACGGTGGGGGAGGGGCTGAGGACAAGGAGGCAGCTGGGGAATTTTCTGTGGCGGTGGAAATTTCTGCATGTCGGGGGTGGTGGTTACACCACTCGATGCCTCTGTCGAGGCTCCTAGAGCTGTACAGCCAAGAGTGGATCTTGTACATAAGTTAAAAGCAAATTAATAAACATTTTTGGAAAATGATAGAATCTTAGAGCTGACGTTTTCGAATCAGAGAGGCTCATACTCCTCATACTCTTCAGAACTGGAAACTTGTAGGATTTTCAGAGCGATGAGAATAGAAGCTCCTATTCTGAATTCCATCAGGGTCAGCACTTCTCATCTTGACTCGCTTTGGTGGTTGTGAAGTGCGTGCAACAGCGCCCAGCATCGGGCAAGCACTCAGCGTGCGTCAGCTGTTATTATTATTGCCGGGGTTGTTGTTTTCCATCAGCCTTCAAGAGGGTCTCTGCCTGATGCGTCCTCCAGCTTCTACCTCCCCGTGTGCTCTGGTGCTGACCACCACCTCCAGGTTCTTGGGTTCAGCTGGGGCCGGAAGTTCTGGTAAGCCAGTTGGCCGGGGTTGGAAGATTGTGTGGGTCCTAGTGCTGTTACTGATGGGCCCACCACATCTTGCCTCAGAAGCCACTGAGCCCACAGCTGGGAGCCTCAGCAGAGATGGCCAATTGTCTGTCTGGCTCTGGGCTTCCGGTGGCTGCTGGCCACACCCGCTCCTTGAGATGGGGTCAGGCTTTGCGTGATGCTGGGGAGTGTGGAAACCAAACAACACGAGCCCGTAGGCCACTAGATCATAATCTGTTTCTGCTCCTTTCCTTTCCACTGTGGAAACTTTAAGCCTCTGGGGCCTATTTAAAAGAAACACGTTTATGGAAGTATAAGATACAGACAGAAAAGTTCACAGATCATAAAGGGACAGCTTAAGGAATTTTCACAGCTGGACGTCCCTTTGTAACTGACAACCAGATCAGGAAAAAGAATGTTTCTGGTCCCTAGACCCCTGTCTGTCCCAGAGCCCCTGACAGTTTCTATTCCTCAAAAATAACCTCTATCCAGGTTTGTAACACCAAAGCCTGGTTTTGTCTGCTCTTGAATGTCACAAAAACAGAATTATACAGTAAATATGCTTTGGGGTCTGCCTTCGTCCTTAGACTGGCTTTGAGATTCAGCCATGTTGTTTGTAGCATGTATTAGATTTTTTACTATTATTTTTTGCATCCTTCTTTACTGCTATATAGTATTCCATTGTATGGATGTACACTTTATTTACTCATTCTACTGATGGACTTTTGGTTGTTTGCAGGCATACTTCAATTTATTGTGCATCATTTTATTGCACTTCACGGATTTTGTGTTTTTTTACAACTTGAAGGTTTGTGGCCACCCAGCATCGAGCAAGTCTATCGGTGGCATTTTTCCAGCACCATTGCTTACTTCACGTTACTGTGTCGCAGTTTGGTAATTCTCGCAATATTTCAAACTTTTTCATTGCTATTGTATTTGCTATGGTGATCTGTGATCAGCAATCTGATGCTACTATTGTAATTGTTTTGAGGACCATGAACCGGGCCTGTGTAAGACGGCAAACTTAATCCATGAATGTTGTGTGTGTCTTGACTGCCCCACCGACTGGCCTGTTCCCCCATCTCTCTCTCTCCTCCCTGAGACCCAGTAAGATTGAAATTGGGCCAGTTAATAACCCTCCAGTGGCCTCTGAATGTTCAAGTGAAAGGAAGAGTCGCACATCTCTCACTTTAGATCAAAAGCTGGAAATGATTAAGCTCAGTGAGGAAGGCACGTCGAAAGCTGAGATAGGCTGAAAGCTGGGCCTCTTGTGCCTGACAGTGAGCCAAGCTGTGAATGCAAAGGAGAAGTTCCTGAAGGAATAAAGGTGCTCCTCCGTGAACACGGGAACGAGAAGAAAGAGAAACAGCCTGTTGCCGATACGGAGAAAGTTGTAGCGGTCTGTATGGAAGATCACGCCAGCCTCAACACTCCCTTAGCCAAAGCCTGATCCAGAGCAAGGCCCTCACTCTCTTCCAGTCTGTGAAGGCTGAGAGTAGGCAGGAAGCTGCAGAAAAGTTTGAAGCCGGCAGAGGTTGATCCGCGAGTTTTAAGGAAAGAAGCCGTCTCCAGAACGTGAAAGTGCAGGGGACGCAGTGAGCTCTCTAGATCCAGCTGAGATCATAATGAAGGGGCTGCACGGAACAACAGATTCTCGGTGGGGCTGAGACAGCCTTCTATCAGAAGGTGCCACCTAGGATTCTCATAGCTGAAGAGGAGAAGTCAGCGCCTGGCTTCAAAGCTTCAAAGGACAGGCTGGTTCTTGTTAGGGGCTAATGCAGCTGCGGACGGACAGTTGGTGATGATGAGCCAGTGCCATCCCACAGTCCCAGGGCCCTGAAGAATGCTGCTAAATCCACTCTGCGTGAGCTCTATAAATGGGAGAACAAAGCCTGGACGCCAGCACATCTGTTCACAACATGGCTTACTGAACATTTTAAGCCATTGAGAACATTCGTGATTCACGGGAAGAGGCCAAAATATCAGCATTAACAGGAATTTGGAAGAAGTTGATTCCAGCCCTCCTGGATGACTTTGAGGGGTTCAAGACTTCAGCGGAGGAAGTCACTGCAGATGTGGAAACAGTGAGAGAACTGGAATCAAAGTGGAGGCTGAAAAGGTGACTGAATGGCTGCCATCTCCGGATCAAACTCTAGTGGATTAGGAGTTGCTTCTTGTGGTTGAGCAAACAACATGGCTTCTTGAGCTGGAATCTGTTGCTGGTGACGATGCTGTGAAGATGGTTGAAATGACAGCAGAGGATTTGGAACACGACATAAACTCAGTTGATAAAGCAGCGGCAGGGTTTGAGAGGACCGACGGCAATTTTGAAAGTTCTCCTGTGGGTGAAATGCTGTCAAACAGCATCGCGTGCAATAGAGAAATCGTTCATGAAAGGAAGAGTCAGTCAAGGCAGCAAACTTCATGGTTGTCTTATTTTAGGAAACTGCCACAGCCACCCCAGCCTGCAGCAGCCACCACCTGCTCAGTCCGCAGCCGTCGACGTGGAGGCCAGCCCCTCCCCCAGCAAAAAGATGACCACTCCTGGAGGCTCAGAGGATGGTCAGCATTTTTTAGCAACAAAGTATTTTTGAATTAAGGTATGTCCGTTGTTTTTTTGTTAGACATAATCCTATTGCACCCTCAACGGACTACAATATTATCTATTATATATTACAAATGTAACTTTTATATGCTCTGGGAAGCCAGAAAATTGGTGCAATTTGCTTTATTGTGATATTTGCTTTATTACAAGTGCTCTGGAGCCAAGCCTGCAATATCTCCAAGGTGTCCCTGTATTATGAATAAAGCTATGAACATTCTAGCACATTCTTCCGCTGAATGCAAAAGGAGGGGGATTGCTGAGTCATAGGTTAGCTGTGCATTTAGTAGACACCAACCACCAGTGCCCTAAAGTGGTCACGCCATCTTGCATTTCCTCCACCCGTGTATGAGAGTTCCGGTTCCTCCACGTCGTCATCAGCACTTGATATTTTCTCTCTCTCTCTCTCTCTTTTTTTTTTTTTTTCAGGGAGATTAGCCCTGAGCTAACTACTGCCAGTCCTCCTCTTTTTGCTGAGGAAGACTGGCCCTGACCTAACATCCATAACCATCTTCCTCTACTTTATATGTGGGATGCCTGCCACAGCATGGCTTGCCAAGTGGTGCCATGTCTGCATGAACCAGCAAAGCCCGGGCCGCTGAGAAGCGGAACGTGTGAACTTAACTGCTGCACCACCCGGCCGGCCCCTTCTCTCTTTTTCATCTTAGCCTTTCTGGCTGACGTGTAGCAGAACCACATTGTGGTTAATTTGTGTTTCCCTGTGGACCAAGAAGGTCACCAATGCCTTTCCACGTGTTTATTGGCTATTTCGATATCCTTGTTCATGAAATGCCTCACCGAGACTTTAGCCCATTTTTCTGTTGTCTTTCTCTAATAATTTTAAGAATTTTTCAGAGTCTAGGTCCAGGTCCTGTAATGCAGCTCCTCCCACCCTGTGGGTTTTCAGGCCTACCCACTGTTTTTCTCTCAGTGCTAATGGAAAGAATCCCAGAGCTTTGGGAACTGTAGGTCTTTCTAACTACCGGTGAAAACAAATCTTTGCAAGATAAGAAGACAAGCTTTTCCTTCTTCCTCCATAATTTTGGAAAAGCAGGCATGACTCTGCATCATAAAAATGCCTCTGCAGGCCGGCCCGGTGGCGCAGCGGTTAGGTGTGCACAGTCCACTTCTCGGCGGCCCGGAGTTCGCCGGTTCGGATCCCGGGCACGGACATGGCACCGCTTGGCAAGCCATGCTGTGGTAGGCGTCCCACGTATAAAGTAGAGGAAGATGGGCACGGACGTTAGCTCAGGGCCAGTCTTCCTCAGCAAAAAGAGGAGGATTGGCAGCAGATGTTAGCTCAGGGCTCATCTTCCTCAAAAAAAAAAAAAAGCCCCTGTAAATATTATTTCTAACAAAGAAATCTTATAAGACATCCAAACTTTAGATTTTGTTGTTAGGTTATTACATCCTATGTAAATAGCTTTTTTTTTTTTTTTAAGATTGGCACCTGAGCTAATAACTGTTGCCAATCTTTTTTTTTCAGTCCTGTGTCTTCTCCCCAAAGCCCCCAGTACATAGTTGTATATATTTTAGTTGTGGGTCCTTCTAGTTGTGGCATGTGGGACGCCACCTCAGTGTGGCTTGATGAGCGGCGCCACGTCCGCACCCAGGATCCGAACCGATGAAACCCTGGGCCACTGAAGCGGAGTGCGGGAACTTAACCACTCGGCCACGGGGCCGGCCCCCTTGGCCGACTTTAATCTCCATCCTTCGATATGATAAAGTGTAACCGTGAGCACAACAGCTTTCAGAGAGTGCTGAAAGTCCTTCTAGCAAATGCTCAAACCTGAGGAGGGTTGGGGACCCTCAAACTTGCACTCGGTGTCAGATCCAGGGTGGTCTTGGTGCCCCCCAAATTCTGCAGTTGGTTCCAGAAGTGAGGGCTGCCGTGTGGGCTGTTCCTACATCTCACAGTTGTCTGACTTCATCACGTACGGCCCTTGTAGGATTATTGGAATTGACATCTCTTTTCCCCGGAACCTGTAAATATGGGTGAATTTCCTTTAGTAAACCAGAAGAAAATCGTTAGTCCATCCTTCTTCTCTCGCACATTCTTCTCTGCTCGATTTCTTATGTAAGCAATAATACAGAAGATGGCCTCATTTAGATTAAAACCGTCCTTCCCCATGCTGTTTGTGACTGACTTCTGATCACCCTCTATACGTATTTCCCCATCTGTCCACTGGAATAGAGGTTTAATGGGACACCGGAACACGCAGCTCGGGACTAGATTTCTCAGCCTCCCCTGCAGGCAGGTGAGGCCAGTGACTCCGTCCCAGCCGTGGGCTGCGAGCGGGAAGCCAAGGGCGCCACTTCAGAGTCCCACCCTTCAAAGGATGGGCATCTGCTCTCCTGACTCCTTTTTCCCTTCCCGTTGGGACGTGGTGAGAGCTCAACCAGCCGCCTTAGAGCCCAAAGTGGAAGCCGTGAGTTGCACGTGGTGTGAGAGAGAAAAACAAACCAAAGGGTCACAATCAGAAATGGCTGTCCTTGTCAAATGGTGCATGTGCCCTGGCACGGGGCTCTCACTGCCTGGACAGGGCACCTCTTTGTAACGCACGCACGGGCTCTGCCTGGGCTGAGGGGGGCTCCAGAGCAGTGCTGTCCCGTGAAAATCTAATGTGAGCCGCAAACACAAGCCTGAGAGGTAATTTTAAATTTTTTAGTAGCTGCGTTACAAAAGTAAAAAGAAACAGGGGCAGGCCCGGTGGTGCGGTGGTGGGGTTCATGCGCTCCTCTCTGGCGGCCTGGGGTTCGCTGGTTTGGATGCTGGGTGTGGACCTACACACCGCTCATCAAGCCATGCTGTGGCAGGCGTCCCACATATGGGGAGGAAGAAGATGGGCACAGATGTTAGCTCAGGGCCAATCTTCTTCAGAAAAAAAAAAAGTAAAAAGAAACAGATGAAATGATATTAGTAACATACTTAATAATATAATTATTATATGTTAGATGAATATCAATGTATACCAATATATTATAGTCATAATAATGATATGTGTGTTATATTGTTACATATAATGATCTTTGATATGTAATGATAACAATAATATAATTAATAATATATTTTGTTTAAGCCAATTTATCCAAAATATTATTTTCACCTATAATACAATAAAAAAGTTATTGATATCTTTTACACTTTTTTTTTTTTGAGGAAGATTAGCCCTGAGCTAACATCTGCTGCCAATCCTCCTCTTTTTGCTGAGGAAGACTGGCCCTGAGCTAACATCCGTGCCCATCTTCCTCTACTTTATATGTAGGACGCCTGCCACAGCATGGCTTGCCAAGTGGTGCCATCGCACCTGGGATCCGAACCGGCGAACCCTGGGCCGCCGAATTGGAACGTGCAAACTTAACAGCTGCGCCACCAGCCTGGCTCCAACGATTTTTTTTTTTTTTTTTGCCGAAAGTCTTTGAAATACGGTGTGTGTTACACTCACGGCCCATCTCAGTTTGGACTCCCCACATTTCCATTGCTCAGCAGCCACATGCGCCGGTGGCTGCTGTCCTGGACAGCGCAGGTCTGGGTCTTGAGGAAGAGGACGAAGAGACACCAGCATAAAGGTTACAGACATTGAGAATGGTGTCCACCCCTCTAGCACGCAAGTCCATTCTAGAGCGTTATCTTCAATAAACGCTTGGACACACACACCAGGAGGTACAGAGGAGTCTGTTCACTGTGGTGTGAATAAAAATATCCCGGGCCGGCCCCGTGGCGCAGCGGTTAAGTGCGCATGTTCCGATTCTCGGCGGCCCAGGGTTCGCCGGTTCGGACCCCGGGTGCGGACATGGCACCGCTTGGCAAGCCATGCTGCGGCAGGCGTCCCACATATAAGTGGAGGAAGATGGGCACAGATGTTAGCTCAGGGCCAGTCTTCCTCAGCAAAAAGAGGATTGGCAGCCGATGTTAGCTTGGGGCTAATCTTCCTCCAGAAAAAAAAAAAAATTGGAAACCACCGAAAATTTCACCAGTGGGGAAGTGATCCACAGGTGTCACGCTAACCAGGGATTCATGAGGCTGTTAAAAGGAAACAAGGTGTTTTTCCATGTGTTTATAAAAACTTTATTCTGAAAAGAAAATAGTGATAAAGCACATTTTAGAACAAAATCTGAGCCAAGCCTGCAGATTACATAACGGTGTTGTGTCAGTGTTACACTTCCTATTTCAATACCTGCACTGCGGTTGTGACAGAGGACACCCTCGTCCTTGAGAGATACGTGCTGAAGGATTTCGGGGCAAACAGGGGTGGTGGTTCCGCTGTGCTCTCAAACGATTCCGGGAAAAATGTAAATAGATCTACAGATCTAGATATAGACACGGACCTCCCGCGTTAACTTCCTGACCTCCCCACCCCAATTCTTTGAAACAACTCTCTGTCGGGTTGCTTCTGTTTCTCTGGAAAGCTCTGATTGGTACCCTCCACCATGCACACATGCATACAGCAGAGCATACGAATGCACGCGGGCAAACGCACCAAACAGTGAACCTGGGTGAAGGGTCTGCAGGCGTTGCTTTTACTCTTCTTGCCACTTCCCTTGTGGTGTGAAATAATATCAAAATAAAGAGTTGCCAAAAACAATTATTCCGAGAAGAAGTCATCACTTCACCAAGGGTCCAGGGCTTAGAAAACGTCAAGAACGCACGATTTAAGGCAATATGCAACTTTGGTCCCAAACCCTAGAATGTTAAGAGGGTGTGAATTGGTCACCTGCGTCTCCCTGGCTCAAGTGCCCCCTTGAGGTCAGGGTCAGAATAATAACATCGCATTCCCACCAGCATCAACTCCTCACAAATCCACCTTCAAAGATCCTTGCTGAGGGGCCAGCCTGGTGGTGTAGTGGTTAAGTCGGTATGCCCCTGCTTCAGGAGCCTGGGGTTCATAGGTTCAGATCCTGGGCGTGGACCTACTCCACTCATCAGCCATGCTGTGGCAGCATCCCACATAAAATAGAGGAAGATTGGCACAGATGGTAGCTCGGGGCCAATCTTCCTCACCAAAAAAAAAAAAAAAAAAAAAAACCCAGACCTTTGCGGAGTAATGTAGACCATACACATGGCTCGATTTAGTGGAACTAAATCTTGTTGAACATTGTGCACCAGCATGTTCATTCCCAAACACAAACACCACATTCATGAAAGTCTGGGCGAATACACTCCAAACTGCTAAAAACAGCGGCAGTCACGGGATTTTTCAGTTCCTTTTTTTTGGGGGGGGTCGGGGGAGTGCATTCTGGGTTGTCAAATGTTTGCAATGTGCGTGGCTTACCTTTGGCATGGAAGGAAAGCCAGATCCTACAAATGGACGGTCGCTGTCGAAAAATACTCTCCGTGGTGGAAAGATGTGCGTGATATATTGTAGGGCTGCAGAAAAGCGTGGGCAAAGTGAGCCCGTTTCTGTGCTCGTTGCATCGTCGTGCCCATGGTGGCAGGCTGGAAAATGGTTCCCAGTGATGTCCACATCTTAATTCCTGGAGCCTGGGGCTTAAATAGCAAAAGGGACTTTGCAGACAAGTTAAGGATCTTGAAAGAGGAGACCATCCAGGGGGACCTCAAGTGGAATCACAAGGGTCCTTTTAGGAGGCAGAGGCAGATTTGAGTCACACAGTGGGAGAGAAGATGTGATCGTAGAGGGGGAGATTGGAGTGACGGCCACAAGCCGAGGGATGCTGGCAGCCAGCAGAAGCTGGAAGACGCAGGAACAGATTAGCCTTTAGAACTTACGGAGGGCGCGTGGCCCCACAGACCCCTTGATTCTGGCCTTTGTCTCCCGAACTGTGAGAGGATAAATTTCTGTTGTTTTAAACCACTGGGGTTTGTGGCAATTTGTTACAGCAGCCATAGGAGACTGACATAGGATCCTTCCTCGCTCCAGGCTCCAGCATGTTTCCAAGAAAACGTGGAATGAGGCTGGAAAGGATGGTTGTGGCTCAAGGAATGCCACCAGTCCCTGAGTGCTGGGCCACCCCCCCAGACCTGCTTGGCCTCTCTGGGCCTCCAAGCAACCTGCCTTGAGGCTCCCAGTCTCGGCTTCCCAGGACCCCAGGGAAGTTCCAGCCAGTTGGACTCGTGAGCTTTTCCACAGCTGCCTGGGGCCCTAGAAGGAAAGAGGGAGACGGTCTCAAATGTGGAAATCACGGCCCCGGGGGCAGGGGGCCAAGCCTAGATCGGGGCGGGGGTCTCTTTCACGTCGCTTCCTCCATCCTCAGAGGGGAACTTCCTCAGTTTTCTGAGCCCTGACTGTCCTCCTCTGACCGGTGTTTGGACTCTGCGGGTGGGTCCCCCATGGAAGGAGCCCCAGATGGGGTGGCCGGTGCGCAGGCCAATGAGAGGCCCAGAGGGGAACGATGGGTCATTTCCTCCCTGGCTCTCTGCGCCCTCCCTTGGGGCCTTAAAAACCACAGCCCTCGCGCAGGAGGCACCTTTGACCAGTGGCGAAGCCGGGCGACCCGAATATGGTGAGTCCAGAAGGGGACCCTTCTTCCTTGCCACCTCTCTCCTCCCGGGGCCCCTTGCTCTCTCCGTCTCTCCCCCCCTCGCCATCTCCCCCTTTCCTTCCTCCTCCTGCCCGTCCTCCATCTCCCCCCCGTCTCCCCCGCTCTCACTCCGGGGCTGGGCCGTGGCTGAGGAGGAAGATTATCAAGAGATTACGGGAGCCACCGCAAGGCCAGAGGGCTGGGATCCAAAGTCCCCCAGGGCAGGAAACCCTCGCTGTCACATCTGGTCAGATGACTCCCTTCCTCGAGGGGAGAGACCCAGGAAAGGCCTTGCAGGCAGCGGGAATGGCAGGAACAGAGATTGGGAGGCTGGAAAAGGCCAGTCTGGAAGAACGGTAAAGTTACTTGGACTTTTCAGAGGCTCTGAATCGTAGAGATGGGGAAACTGAAGCCCGGGGAGGTGCGGAGCTGGCCCGGGTCCTTCAGCAGTTGGCGGCAGACCCAGGCTGTCCCGTGGACTCTGTGCGTCTCGGAGGGAGACTGTCTCCGGGGTAGACGCGGGGCCCCTTGCACTCCTGCACCCCGAGGTCCCGGCTGAGAGAGGCATGGCTGTGATTGACACCTGCGTGTGGAGGCTCTGGTCCCGCTGCATCTGGGAGAAAGAGGAAACGGCGCATGCGCTGGACCAGGGAGGGGCTGGCTGCGGCTTCGTTCCCGCATCTCCCTTCTCAGACCCCACCGGGGCTTTCGGAACGCGGCCCACCACTAGCTTCGACTGCTTTTTCTTTCTGTATAAAATAGTCCCAAGTCCCACAGTGGAAAGCCACTCCTTGTCACTGCCCCCAGACGCAACCGTGGGTACCAGTTTGTCGTGCATCCTTCCAGAAACGGTCTACAGGTGCTCAAGGACCGATAGGCAGGAAATGAAGTCAGGAGAAGTTGCACATGAGGGTCACACTGAAACGGGGTTCAAATGCTGCCCCTTCTGTGTGATAGCTGGGAAGACCTGTTTCTGCTGTTCCGCCTTCTCCTCATCTTCACGATGGGGATAGAAAGCCCAAAGAATCAGAACCCACATCATGGGATCGTTGAGAGAATTCAACGAGATAATCCCTGGAAAGTTCTTGCAACAGCGCCTGGCATACAGTTGGCGCTCAATGCACGGGACGTGTCTATCCTTTCTCCCCGCCCCCTGCAAATTGAAGTATGTTTTACATGTTATCTTACATCTTGCTTTTTCGAGAGTAACATATATTATTAACCAGCATGTATTGAGTGCCTACTGCATGTGCTATGCACTTTACTTGTAATAATTTCATCTTAAACAACCTATAAAGCAGGTACTATTACAATACCTGTGTATTTCAAGGGAGTTGCCTCTTTCTTTCTATCAGCTGTATAATATTCCAGTGGGAGGCTCCAACCTGAATGGAGGTTTAGGTTGTTTCCAACATTTTGTCTTTCACACCAAAACTATATCTTTGGACCCATGTCTGGGTTTTCAGAACTGCAAATGCTGAATCCAAGGCATGGGCAATTTTTATTTCAACAGATATCGCCCAAAGTTGTACCCACTTATATTTCCACTCTCCGGGGCCTGGGACTGTCTGTGTGTCTACGCTGCCCTCTGCTTTTTTATTTTCGCTGACTCGAGAAACAGTTCATTGCACCTTCCAAGGCTCTGGAGGCTCGTCTTTTTCATGTGGTTTTCAAAATGTGTGTGTTTCTGATTCTTAACGCTTAGGGGTTGGAGTCGCAAAGGTTGTGCAAATTCAAGAAGGTAAATCTGAGTTGAAATGTCGGTCCCCACCCTTGTGGCCGGTAGCTCAGAGGTCACAGCCCACAATACTTTCGTGTGGTTCCGTGGGAGGATGTTTTTAAAGACTCTGAGTCCCAATAGGAACAGAGAAGAGGATGTTCAGGGAAAAAAAAAAGACTTGGCCTTCTGTGTGTTTATGGGCTTTCTCACGTCTTTGAGTCGGTCTGTCATTTTCACTGTGATGGGGGGACAGCTGGCAGGACTTTCTCGACTGGAAGGATGGGGAAACCGACGCCCAGAGAGCAAGGGAAGGGCCTGGGGCAGAGTTTACCACACACCAGCTGCATGACTGAGGTCAAGCCATGCCTCTCCTCTGAGCACTCGAGGCTTCCAGCTTCTCTTCCTCCTCTTGGCCGTCACCCCGGCCCAGCCCCATCCTCACAGGTCTGGATCCTCCCCCCTGCCTCCTCTCCGGTCCTCTTGCTTCTTGTCTCACCTCCTCACAGTGGCCGGAGGGATCTTTCTAAACCGAAATTCGAATCTAGTCCCTCTACAGCTCAAAGACCATCCATGGCTCCCCATGACCCCAGAAGAAAATACAAATTCTTGAACGCGGCGTCTGCGGCTCTTCCTTCGTTTTCTGATGTGTGGCACATTCCCTCCCTCGAACTTTGTGGCTTTTTGCCTTACGTGCGTGGCTGTCACTCTCGCCACACTTTAGGCGTGCAAGCCGCTCAGAGAGGGCTCTGGAGTCCCACGCTCAGAAATTCTCTCCTATCTCTGCCACTTGCTAACTGCGGGGGCTTGGAAGGGTCTCTCGAGCTCTCTGTGGCCTCAGTTGTCTTCTCTGTAAAGCGGGAGTGGCAAGAGCAACATTGTTGTGGATTCAATGAGCTCATACGGGAAGAGGGCTTAGAACAGAGCTCGGCGATCGTGCTCGCTATTCCCGTAAGTCCCGTGTCTGCCTCACCCCGTTCTCCTCCCATCCGTTTGCGTCTCCTTGCTGTCACCGCCCTGGTACAAGCCCATCGGCATAGGTGGCTACTGAAATGTCATCGTAATGACGCAAAATGAAAAGTGTGGTCTTTCAGATGCATCCGCCACATTGCATGTGCTCAGCACGCACACAGGTGGCGATCACCTCGGACAGCACTGATCTAGAACATTCCATCAGCGCACAAAGTCCTACTGGCTGGCCCTGCAGCTGGATCTTCCCAGTCCCCTCCTGCTCCCACGCCAGGCTGGACCCTATCGAACGCTCTCTCGGTCCTCGTCAGAGGCCAGATAGGTCAGGACCGGGCCCCCCAGCCACTTAATGTTTGCGCCAGTAAGAAATATTCTTAGAAGCTTTGCTGAACTCCCAGAATTGCGGAACCACGAATTCTGTTGTATATTTGATCTGATTTGCATTTTGCGGCAGTGGGCAGTGCGCGCACTTGGATGGGTCTGTGTACAGGATGAACAAAAACCTGTATGATGAAGACTTCCTGTCGCTGCCAGCCTTCTGGCTCGCAGCTTCCCCTCCCCGGGGCAGCTACGGTTCGAGGTTTCCTATGTCGGCTGCTGGAGATGGTCTGTGCCTGTGCCAGCAAACACACACACGTGCACATGCGGAGAGAGATCGAATGATAGAGACAGAGATAGAGATAGAGGGAGGAAGGGAGGGAGGGAGAGAGAGGTGGAGAGACAGAGAGAGAGAGAAGTTCCTCTTTCATAGGTGGCGTGGTTGACACACTATCCATTCCTCGCTTTTTCTATTTCACCCCAGATCTTGGAGCTCTTTCCACATCAGCACATAATCGTCCTCCTCCTTTTTGATGGCTGCGTAATATTCTGCTGCCTGGATGTGCCATCATTCATTTGGCGAGTCCCCTTTTGCTGGACACCAGCTATTTCCGATCTTTGTAGGCATGCTGCAAGGGCCAGACTTTGCAAGCCATTTGCATCGGGAAGATCCTGGAAACCATAGAGTGTCAGAATCATCATCTTTTTTCTGTGATCATGAGGTCAATGACAGGAAGGGGTTGAGTGAGCTCACGCTAGGAAAGGCGCTTTGTCAGCTGACGAGAGGAGGCATGAGGAGTGCGAGAGCAGGGGGTGGGGGGCTCCCCTTCTTTGGGCTGTGAGTCATTCTGTAGCCAAGGATGGCTGAGAGCTTTCGAAATGAGCAGAGGCAAAAGTTAGCTTCGGGGAGCTCTCCAGAGCGGACATTCGAAATATTTAACAACTTGCTAAGGAGCAGAGCCCCCCTGAGGGAGTGGGGTCTGGGGCTTCCTGCCCTGCCGTCATCAACCCTTTAGTGACCAGAGCATGGGGACCTGGGGGGGGCACCCCAGAGTAGAAAATGGGGAGCCAGGGTGCTGGGGGGGGGATGGTGGAGGTCGGGGGCTGAGGGCAGGGGCTATTTATCAATGGAAATATTTCAACAATTTTAACTCTCTATTTTGAAGTATCTTCACATTTATAGAAAAATGTTAAGAATACAAAGACCTCCTATATACTCTTTACCCAGATTCTCAAAATTTGCTTTATCTATCTATATCTATCAATCTTCTATCAATCTATCTGTTAACTATCCTCTTTTTTCTTAATCATTTGAGAGTAAGTTATAGGCGTTGTGTCCCTTTCTCCCTAAATACCTCAGTAACTATTTCTCACAAACAAGGACATTCACCTACATGAACCCAGCACAGTTTTCAACATCAGGAAATTTAACATTCGATGCAATACCGTTATCTGGTCTACAGAACATATTTAAACTTGCTCAGTTGTCCAAATAACACCCTTGAAGGCAAATCTGATTTTCCTGCTCCAGGATGTCACTTTCACTGTCCAGGAAAATCAAAAGTGACTCTTTAGTTTCCGTTCATCTGGAACCTCCCTCAGCCCTTCCTTGTCTTCATGACACTGACATTTTTTTCTTTTTCTTTGGTGAGGAAGACTGGCCCTGAGCTAACATCTATACCAGTCTTCCCCTATTTTGTATGTGGGACGCCGCCACAGAATGGCTTGATGAGCGGTGTGTAGGTGAGTGGCCCGGGATCTGAACCAGCAAACCCCAGGCCACTGAAGAAGAAGATGAGAACTTAACCACTATGCTGCTGGGCCAGCCCGGGCATTTTTTTTAATTGAGTAAAATTCACATAACATATAATTTACTGTTTTAAAATGTACAATTCTCTGGCGTTTAGTACATTCACAATGTGTACAATCACCATCTCTATCTGGTTCCAGAACCCTCAAGATGAACCTTGGAGGGGCCGGCCCTGGGGCCGAGTGGTTCAGTTTGCGCACTCTGCTTCAGTGGCCCAGGGTTTTGCAGGTTTGGATCCTGGGTGCAGACATGGCACCGCTCATCGGGCCATGCTGAGGCGGCATCCCACATGCCACAACTAGAAGGGCCCACAACTAAAAATGCACAACTACGTACTGGGGGGATTTGGGGAGAAGAAGGAAAAAAAGAAGATTGGTAACAGATGTTAGCTCAGGTGCCAATCTTTAAAAAAAAAAAGACACCCTGTACCCATTAAGCCTCACTCCCCATTCCCCGGGCCCACAATCTCCAGCAACCACTCATCCACTTCCTGTCTCTGTGGATTTCCCTATTCTGGACATTTCATATAAATGGAATCATATGACATGTGACTTCCTGTGTCCGGCTTCTTTCACTCAGCACAATGTTTCCAAGGTTCATCCATGTTGTAGCATCTATCAGAGCTCCATTCCTTTTTCATGGCTGAATAATATTCCACCACATGGCTATAGCATACGCTGTTAGTCCACTCGTTAGCTGGCATTGACGTTTTCCCTTCCAGTAATTGAAGCACTGGCGTGGCTCTACCAGCAGACACTCCTGCCCGTCCACCTGGCCAGTCTCAGGGCAACGTAAAGGGACCAGAAATAAAAAAGAGTGGTCAGAGAAAGACCTTGATGTGAGCTCTTCCATAGTCATGAAATCGATAAATTATAATAGTATTGGCTGCCATTTCTTGTCTCCTCCTCTGTCCCAGGTTCTTTGTTAGATGCACGAACATTTCTCATCTTATTTAATCCACGAGGTGGGTCTTTCAGCAGGTATAAACCTCAGCCCGCAAATTCAGGTGCGCTGAAAACCCAGCTCTGAATATTTCCGTCACAACGATTTCTATTTCTCTCTGCCTCCTGTCCCTGGGTTGGTGACCAAGTGGCCTTCAAGGATGGGCTAGCTGCAAGGGCCACAGAGCTCGCCCCGGAGGCGTCCGCAGCCCCCCTTGGGGACGGTGAGGGGCAGCCCGCCTGGGTTTGCACCCCAGCCTGGAAAGGTTTGAATTCCTATCTACGTGACCTGGAACAGCCAACTTCCCCTTCTGGTGCCTCTGTTTCCTCATCAATAAAATGGGTATATTAATAGAACCAAACTGTAGGGTCGTGGTCAGGATTGAAAGAGCTATTGCCAGGAAAGAGCTGGCTGCTTCAGTGTGACCATTCCATGCCGTGTGGGGATTTTCCTGCCGTGTCTCATTGCCTACAAAACTCTCTCGAGCCCCCTCCCCCTTTTTAACATAAACACACCACCGTATCATCCTCGATAAAATTAGCACCGATCGTTACTACCGTCAAATAGCCAGCCCATTTTTAAATTTCCCAGATTGTCTCAAAAATATCTTATTCTCCAGTTGATTGTTCCAATCAGGATCCAAACGAGGTCTTCACATTGCCTTTGGTTGATACGCGTCTTAAATCTCTTTTGATCCGTGGCACTCCCCTTTTACTTGTGGGAGAAACCAAACCCTTTGTCCCATAGAGTTTCCCGCAATCTGATTAGGCTGATTTCATCCCTGTGGTGCTATTTATGTTCCTCTCTCCTCCACTTTTCCTGTAAACTGGTAGTTTTAATCCAGCAGCTTGATTAGATTCACATTGAATTTTTTTTTTTTTTTTTTTTTTTTGGTGAGGAAGATTGGCTCTGAGCTCACATCTGTTGCCAATCCTCCTTTTTTTGCCCAGGAAGATTGTCGATGAGCTAACATCTGTGCCAATCTTCCTCTGTTTTATATGTGGGCCGCCGCCACAGCGTGGCTTAACAAGCAGTATGTAGGTTCGCACGCACCCAGGAGCCAAACCTGCGAACCCCGGCCGCTTAAGTGGAGCACACGAACTTAACCATCAGGCTGGCCCTCAAATTTGTTTTTTGGCAAAAATTGCTTCAGAGTTAGCTGTGTTCTTTCTACTGCATCATGTCAGATAGAACAGAACGTCTGACTGTCTCTCTTCTCGGGGTGCCGAGGTCCCTCAGCGGGTTTGGGGGGCCAGCCCGACTCATTGATTGGAAAGTTCCTGTCCGTCTCTCCCCTGATGGTTTTATCAGATGTTGATGGTCCTCCCGGAGGTCCGCTCTTTCCTTAGTTCTGTCGCTCCTCCTGCAGGTCTTGTTCTTAGACTTCTCTAAACAAGGGCTCTCCCACATTGACTCTTTATTTCCCTGAAACATACTCTGTACGGAAATGGCAGGAGAAATGCTTGATTCATTCCCTTTCCAGAATAAAAAGGTGACCAACGGGTTTGCTTGCTTTTATTATAGTTAGGAACCCACAGATCTTTATCCATTAATATGTCTCACTCCATCACAGTTCTTCTTATTATTTGATGCTCAAATTGTCCCATCTTTGACTAGTGGGAGCCCTTTGGGGCTGCCTCTTGCATCTTTTTTGACTTGTGCCCATTAAAAACTTTCTTACATCCTAGTGCAAGATGTCCTGGGCTCATCTGGTCTATTTCCTGTCCCAGAACAGGAATTGGCCTTTCTCCAGGGAGCCCTGGGTGCTGTGAGTGACAGATGGTAATTAGAGGCCATAATCTGGGTGCAAAGGTTCTCTTTGTTCTTGAACGTATAACTTCTTCTACTCCTTTCATCCCTTCTGCCCTCCCTCCAGCAAAGTGAACATCTATTTCTTCTTCTCCCTCTTGCTTTCCCCACAGATTTTCTCTCCGCTTTGACACCGAGGTTTTGGAGCTAAATCCAGCTAAAGTGGGTGAACCTCTAGGAGTTAACTAGGACAGAATCAGAGGCACGGAGCAGGGGTAGAACTTGCAGAGGGCCATGCAGACTTCAGCTGGGACAGTCAGGATCTGGACCTTAATGCCGTGCCGAGCCACCCTGGAACCCAAGGTCAAAGGACACATGTGCACTCTCATCTACGCTTAGCAAAACGTCCTCCCATAGTCTGGACCAAGTAGAAAAACTAAATAAAAGCTCTACCCAAAAAAACTCCCCAAAACCCCAACAATGCGACTCTACATAAAGCCCCAAACTGCATGATATGTTTGCAGGCCGTTGTCACCCTGCAAAGATGCGTGCAGCTGGGAATACAAACTGTGGGCTGGTCAGAAAGTTCCTGTTGCACAATAAGGCAGGGTCACAGATTGAACAAACAATGACAGCAGCCTGTCTTTATTTAAAATTTGGATTTTTTTTCCACGATGGATTTTTTGGGGGGGGGGGGCGCCGGGCATTCATTTTGATTCTTTAAAATATTGCAATAAGATGTTTATCTTGATGACCAAGTTTTTGGGGGGGGTCCCCTCTCTCCCCACTTGAACGTTGTGCCTGTGTATACGGGGCACTGCAGAACTGCTGCGTCCTCTGGGTCGCCACTCCCAGCTGGCACACAGCTGCCTTGGTGGTGGAAGGCAGGACAAGGGGCGTTGGTCGGGATGGTGGTGGTGGTGGGTGGTGGTGGGATAACCATCTAGTAATATCTTCTCAGTTTGTTGGTGACGTTAAAAATATCTAACAAGCAGTGTGTCGTGGGCACTGACCAATTGGAGTGGATAGTGACCACAGCGTTGCAGGAAGCCTAAATTTTAACAATTTGGTTGCTAGAGCCTGGGGAAGTCCAAGGACTTAAGGGGGAGGTGGCAGGGTGGCAGGGAGACCAATCGGCGTGGAAGCGTTTTCAATATTTTAGTAAGCGGCAGGATACCGCAGTAGGCTCTCAGCCCTCAGCATTCCCCATTTCCCGGAAGAAACCTGAGGCTCAAAGTAGTGCAGCGGTGGGTTCAAAGCCGTGTAGCTCTCTCGGGCCTCCCTGGGCCCTGTCTGCAGACTGATTGTCTCCCTGTCTCTCTGGTTCCACCTAGGCCTCCATGGACAATACCACCTTTGACTACTCCAATTACGGCGACTCCACTGATGGCTTCAACGAACCAGTGGATAACTCCTCCAGGACCCAGAGTCTGACTTGTCTACAGGTCATTGCCCTGATCGTCTATGCAGCTGTCTTCCTGGTGGGAGTGCCCGGCAACGCCCTGGTGGTCTGGGTGACAGGGTCCGAGGCCAGGCGAACCGTCAACGCCGTCTGGTTTCTCAACCTGGCAGTGGCTGACCTCCTGTCCTGCCTGGCGCTGCCCATCTTGTTTACGTCCGTCATCCTGCACGGCGAGTGGCCCTTCGGCAGCGCCGCCTGCAGCATCCTGCCCTCGCTCATCCTGCTCAACATGTACGCCAGCATCCTGATCCTGGCCACCATCAGCGCCGACCGCTTCGTGCTTGTGGTTAACCCCATCTGGTGCCAGAACTACCGAGGGGCCCACGTGGCCTGGACCGCCTGTGGCGTGGCCTGGTTCTTGGCCCTGCTGCTGACCATACCGTCTTTCCGGTTCCGTTCGGTCCACAAGGAGTACTATCCGACCCGGATAACGTGTAGTGTCAACTATGGTGGCAGTGACCTCAAGGAGAAGGCCGTGGCCATCGTCCGTCTGGTCGTGGGCTTCCTGTGGCCACTGGTCACCCTTACAATATGTTACACCTTCCTCCTCATCCGGGCATGGAGCCGCAGCGCCACACGCTCCACCAAGACGCTCAAAGTGGTGGTGGCAGTGGTGACCAGCTTCTTTGTCCTCTGGCTGCCCTACCAGGTGACGGGGATGATGTTGTCTTTCCTCCACAAGGCCGATAGCGTCTTCAAAGTTGTGTCCAGGATCGACCCCCTGTCTGTCTCCCTTGCGTACGTCAACTGTTG